ACAGTATGGGATGTGAGTGTGTCTGAAAATAGAAAAATGATGAAGCCAAGTTTGGGAGCTTTCCCCACGATGTTGGGACACAGGAAAGCTTGGACGATTTTTGTTTGGTGAACTCACCGTAGCCACCGTGCCGGCCCCAGGCTATGTATGGCCCGCATGCGGTCAGTCAGCATCACGCCGGACCAGACCAGTAGGTGGACTCAGAAGATCAACGCCGTGGGATGGAACATCCCCATGTGTAGAGGGTTTACCCTCTGGTTACCACTAACATTGCGAACTGGAAAATCACCATGCTATTAATGGGTAAATCCACTATTTTCAATAGCTATGTTAGTTTACCAGAGGATGACTAACGCTTTGCGAACTGGAAAGATCCACCATGCTATGTAGCTGGGTAAATCCACGAACTTTCGACTGGGTCATGGCTTCAATAGCTTTGTTAATCATTACCAGAGGGTAAGTATAGATAAATCCCCTATAGATTCCCTATAATTACCTATACAATCACTATAGATTCCCCAAATGGCTAATCACCAGAGGGTACTTATCAAAAGTGGATAAGGTATTCCGTCGCTGTGCTGGATCATTGGAGGGTTCTTTCGGATGGTTGAAAAAGACTATATTTGATCAATGGCCATGCTGGCCAGGAACCGAGAAAAACCGGAGATAGCTACCATAGAAAAAAGGTCAAAAGGCCTATTTTTCAGGCCTAAATTTCAAGGGATATTGCCACAATTCATATGGCCTTTTCTTTGGTACTGACGTACCTCAATACGGCCCATTGAAAATATGAAACCAGCAGAATGGGTGATTTTTTTGTGGTTGAATCACTGTTGACATTGAGAATGGATAAGTATTGGTGAGTTCACCTCTGATCATCAAACGTTACATAGCTATTTACCAATTAATGGTGTTTTAATGGGATTGAATGGTGATTCAATGGCATTTAATGGCATTTAATGGGATATATGATGATATACCCTCTGGTAATTTAACATAGCTATTGAAAATTGCCATAGAAATGGTGGATTTACCCATTAATAGCATAGTGATTTTCCATGGCTATATTAGTTTACCAGAGGGTAATTATAAAATTATACCCTTTGGTTATGACATTCACAGTTTGCCATGGTTTAAATCTCCATTTCTATAGGTACATCATCTATTTCGATTAGGGTCATTTTACAGTTCGCAAACTGTTAAATAACCAGAGGGTAAATCATGGATTTTCCAGTGTGATGTTTGACTGCTGGAGGGTAATCCTAGTGTTTCACCCCTATCATTTACCATTTACCAATATTGGCCAATGGGAATTCCAGGATCCTAAAATGGAGGTACGTTAGTACATTATAAGGCCATATTTTATGGGGATATTCCCTTACATAGACCTTATATATGGTAGGTACCTCCAATTTAGGATCCTGGAATGGCCATTGAATTGGTGAGTTTTTGCGGGGTTCAAATGTTCACCCAGTTGATCAATGTGATCCCACATGGATGGGTCGTTGTTGTTCCTGCCGGATGGGCGCCCCCGTTGGAGCATTGTTGCGAGCGTTCAGTTGCCGAAGTGATTTTTAGCGGTTGAATTAACAATGGTTTGTGGTAGATATAAGGGACTAGTTAATGGAAATGAGGTTTATAAATGCCACATATACTCGCAACTATAGTTAATGGATGTTAATGTTTTTTTTTTTTAACTAACAAACACAACTGGGGGGCCCCATCTTGTGGGTTCCTTTTAGTTTACTCTTGGTGAATGGGAAGGTAGTGGGTTTTGTCGCAGTGTTGATGGGAAAGTAGACCAGCCACCTAAATCTGAGTTCAGTTGCTTTTTTTTTGTGCATGGTATTCAAAGTTAATCACAACCAACAATGACCCATCTATCTATCTATCTAGCTAGCTATCTATCTACCTATCTACCTATCTACCTATCTACCTATCTACCTATCTACCTATCTACCTATCTATCTAATCTAATCTATTCTATTCTATTCTAACCTACTCTATTCTATTATATTCTGTTCTATTCTATTCTATTCTAATTCTAATCTATTCTATTCTATTCAATTCAATTCATCTATCTATCTATCTATCCATCTATCTTTCTATCTTTCTTTCTATCTATCTATCTATCTTTCTTTCTTTCTATCTGTCTATGTATCTATCTAGCTAGCTAGCTATCTATCTATCCATATATTTATTGTTCTATCTATCTATCTATCCATCCATCTATCTATCTATCTGTCTGTCTATCTATCTATCTATCTATCTATCTATCTATCTAATCTATCTGTCTATCTGTCTATCTCTCTATCTATTTTTTGTATCTATGTATCTATGTATCTATGTATCTATGTATCTATCTATCTATCTATCTATCTATCCATCAATCTACCTATCTATCTATCTATCTATCTAATCTAACCCAAACTAATTTAATATTATCCTATTTCATTGTGTCTTATATATCTAATCCTACTATGTTTATCTAATCTAATCAAATCACATCTAATGTTAATCTAATTTTATCTTATCTTATCTATCTTGCAGGGTATATCCATGGTGTTTCTGGTTCACAATGCACCAGATTCATCCCGGAAATGCGATGGTTAGATGATGATGTCCCGTCTAACGGCAACTTTAGGGCATCCCCCATGTTCAGAGACACCCTTTTGAAACTCAGGAGTTGATTGATTGGTAAACTAACATAACTGTGGAAAATCACCATTTTTTTATGGGTAAATCAACTATGAATGGCCATTTTCAATAGCTGTTGCTATGGACAGCTATGGTATAGAGTCGGCCCATCTGGTGAATTTCAAAATCAGAATGAATCTGAAATTCAATGGAATCGTTTAGAATCCATCAGACATTAAGGGATGAGATATTCAGATATCACGTTACCAAGTGTCGCTAGCTATGAAATGATTGAACCTTATGAATTTCCAGGGTGATCTACGGACTTGTAACTGAGGGCCCCCCCCACCTTGTATAATATGACTCATTGATCCCATTGACATATGGTCATGGCATGGCACCAGGTTACAGCACCTTGATGAGTGCCGTGTCCCGCTCCGGTGAATGGCAAGTGGTGTCTGGAACCAAGCGGGATCTGTTTTTTGTAAGGGAAAATGAGTGCCTGAGTACCTTTGCCCTATGGGTTTCTCTTACCGTTACCTTTCCATTTTGTGCCCGTTTTGCTTTGGGGAATATGATGATTTACCCATTGGTAAATTAACAGTTTGACCCTCAAAACCAGCAGTTTTTTGTGGTTTCATTCATCTTCCAACTCCCAAGTCATGGCATGGTTTATGTTGATTTTTTGGATGGTAAACCATCAAATTTGGAGCCTAGTTTCAGGAAAAAAAAGGATGGCTCTGGCCACCTGGAGGTTTGTCTAGACAGCTTTTCAGAGCGTAAATTGGAGCATTTGGGTCGGTTGAGGGTTTCGATCTTGCGAAATGGTACTTTTCCACAGCAAACTGTTAAGTTAGGGTATTAATTGGTCGCCATTTTTGATGGTAAATCACGGTAAATCCCATTTTTCATGTTTAATCTCACCATCTCATTATTGTCCGCACTTAAATTCATAAGTGAGGATATCCAACCAAGCAGTGGCTTATACCATGGTTATGAACCACGGATCCTAACGAGGATGACCTCGTGGGGGAAATGGAATTTGTAAGGCGCCAGCTGGTAACGGTGATGCTGAAAGGGGTGATGTGTTCATGGCTTCAATCAGTTCAAACTCACCCAGATGCGAACCATGGTGCTGGAATATGCACACCTACAAAACTGCGCCATAAAAATGGTGTAAATATAGGTGTGCATATTCCAGCACCATGGAGCATCTGGGTCAGAGACAGTTTCCAAAAAATCGAGAAAGGGTTCAAATTAAATCAGAGACACTTTCGCCCAAAAAATAGGGGAAAAACGCCAGAGGATCCTGATACCCTCTGGTAAACATACAAAATACTATGGACAGATCCACCCAATTTTTTAATTGGAAAATCAACTATTTCTATGGCCATTTTCAATAGCAAACCATTGATTTTCCTATGTTTTTTGGGGGGTTCCTGTAGATTTTCCCTTAACCAAACCTTTGACCCCATCGATTCCAATTTGACCCCATTCTTAGTTATTACCAGAGGCTAAATCAACTATTTCTATGTCTTATGGTAAATCAATCAACTATTTCTATGGCAATTTTCAATAGCTTTTTGTATGTTTACCAGAGGCTAAAAGTCGTTGAGGTTGCTTTTGATCCATCCGATTTCGTTTTCTGCGCGCCTAGGCTCCACCTTCTTTCTGAGATGCAGCACTTGACCGTCCCTGGAGCGATTTTCATGAATGGAGTTTGACCATTTCTTGCGATGATCTCTATGGTCTTCATGTTGGACAACTACCCTCTGGTAAACAAACACAAAGCTATTGAACATGGCCATAGAAATAGTGAATTTTCCCATGAAAAACGGGTGGATCTTTCCATAGTTTTTTGTAGGTTTACCAGAGGGTACATCAAATCCACGGTTTTCTTTGACACTATTTTTTTTAAAAGTCAATCATCGATTACAGGATGGGCCCCCCAGTTATAAGTTGGTTTATAAACCATGAAATAATCCCCATTAACTAGTTCGTTATATCTACCATAAACCATTGAATTCAACCACTTATGTTCACCAACGGTTCACGCTATCGACTGGGGGCCCCACCCTGTATATAGTCAGTATTTTTGGACTGTTTCTGAAATAGGTCAATCATCGATTGATAGGACAATTTTCCAACACTCATCCCAGTAGCCTCTCAATTCTTTGGAGTTTTGGTGTTGCGAAACAACCCCCTTGGAACATGTTGGAACTATAGATCATTGATTAGTTTTGTAGATTGTGAAACAAATAACAACATATACATATTATATTATTATTATTATTTATATATATATACATACATACATACATACATACACATACCACTCTTCCATCCCATGTTCTCAGAGTTTATGAGGTTCGGACGGATCCGGTTTGCTACAGCGTGGCCATGGGAGCATGTGAGAAGGATTGGGAAAACGGACAGGTGGAGAGGAGTTGATTGATAGCTATGGATAGCTATGGTATAGAAGGCCCATTCAGTGAGTGTTGATTTACCCTCTAGTTATTTAACATAGCCATGGTATAGATAGCCCATTTATAGATGGTTTACCTATTAAAAATGGTGGATCTTTCCATGGCTATGTTAGTCATAACCAGATAGTATCTATTCAAAAATAATGATCCAATAGAACGAATCTGGAACTCATTGAATGTTTGTGAAAGAATCAAGAACAATCAGGAAACGTCAACGAATGAGATATTAAGATACCTGGATTTACGGTTTGTGGATGATTTCCACATTTTCTCAATGGGAAATCCACTAGAAATGGGCAATCGAGGAAGAGAATACGTTTTATAATATTTGGGGGAGTTCCTGAAACGAATCCATGAAATTGAGTTAGTGTTGCTATGGATAGCTATGGTACAGATGGCCCATCTACTCCGATGATCTATGGTACCTATTAAGAATGGTGATCTTCCACAGCTATGTGAAATCACCAGAGGGTAAGCCTATCACCCAAATTGACATGGTGACCCTGCCATGACTTGCGTCTAATTAGTTTCCATTAAAATTCAAAAGATTCAGAGTCAAGCCGTTCATTTGGAGGAGGCTAAGCATAAATGATGTCCGGTTGCGACTAAGCAGCGAAACAAATGACACGTTCTGCATGGTAGCTTAGAGAACAGGGATGAAGCTGGAGATTTGATAGTTAGCTTTGACATGTCTCGGCAGCAAGGTTGTTTTTTCGCTGTCTATATATTTCACCTCGGCCCTAATGTATCCTTAAAAGAAACGACGACAATGATTCTTTATAACTATAATGTTTTGATCAACGAAGTCAATGGTTGGAATCACTAGTTCAAGTGATAAATAAATAATGTTGGTTCCTGATTAGTGTGAGCCCCCCCCCTAAACAATAGCTGTACTCTCTTTAAAGTGGAAAGTCAAATATGTTCTTCCCAGGAAACAAACATCCTCACTTAAGTAAGGATTTTAATTGGCTACAATTGAAATCTAATTAAAGCTTTTTTTTGCCGATGAAGTTGTGGTACTTGTAGTACTTCTAGTACTTGTAGTACCTGTAGTACTTGTAGTACTCTCAGCAATTACATGCAGTTTTTTTTTCAACAAAAAATGGTCTCCCAAACTTTCTTGCCACAATAGGGAAACCCTAAAAGCAATACATGGGTTCAGAATAATATGGGAAAAATGCCACAATACCGAACCTAGCCACTAATCAGCATCCAACATTATTATGTACTAAGAAAATATATATTCTTTATAACTATAATGGTTTGATCAATGATTGTAATCACTGATTTAAGTGATAATGAATTATCATGTGATATCAACATATCAAGACAACAAGTGATGACAACTATATTGCATATGTATATACATATATATATATATATATATTGCATAGATATGTTACATAAACAGGCACATCTCCAGTATACATATACAATAATATAATAATATACATATACAATAATATAATAATATACATGTACAACAACATATATATATATATATACAGTATCACGGATATGTGCTGCTGTCAGCTTGCGTCGGCAGTAGCACACTTGCTGCCCGCATTGACTAGCTCCTGTTTGTGTTTTGTGGCCCTAAAACAGGGGCCAGATTCTGGACCCAAAAATGGGGCCACAATACTAAAATTAGCAGCCGAGCTTCCAAATGTGTGGTCCCAATTTTGGGCCCATGGTGTATGCGTTTTGCCTTCTGCAAAGAGTGCGTTGAGCTGCGACAGGTTGCATCTTCCATTCATGTTTTCTTGCGCTTGCTGCCAGGATGCTGGTTTCACATGCAGGGTACGCAGTGAAGGAAGGCAAAAAGCATGCAGGCCCACAGCCCCAAAAATGGGTCCGCGTCGCAGCGCAAGCCAAAGGAACGTTTCAAAAGGTGCAGGGATGCCAGTGCTGTTCTGCAGCAAACATGACTGCCACAAGCAATGCCAAGACATGCGTACCGCCAGCGGCAGTATACAGGACCCTAGGCGCAACCCCCGGCACCCCCAGATATCAAAGTTGACTTACTTCCGCACTCCGCAAAGCTACACCAGGAAAGGCAGCAAGACTAGCTTTTGCGAGTGGCAACGTTGATTCCTGGGGAGCGGGGCCATGTTTGCGCGTGCATATCTACATACATCACGCGGAAGCAGCGTTAAATTAGCAATTCGTATTGGCTTGGCCGCAAAACTACTAAGCATGTGCTCAAAAGCTACTAAGCACGGTGTCGCATTTCGTATTGGCTTGGCCGCAAAGCTACTAAGAATGCGTTCAAAAGCTACTAAGGACGATTTCGCAATTCGCATTGGCTCGGCCGCAAAACTACTAAGAACATGCTTCAAAGAATAAAAGAAACAGTATCTTCTTCTTTTCTTGAATTTTGAGAGACATTCTTAGTAGTTTTGCGTCCAAGCCATTGTGATTTGCAACTCACGCCTTAGTAGTTTTTCATGAGCTACTTAGTAGTTTTGCGTCCAAGCCATTGTGATTTGCAACTCACGCCTTAGTAGTTTTTCATGAACTCCTTTGTAGTTTTGCGTCCAAGCCATTGTGATTCGCAACTGGTGCTTTACTAGTTTTTCGCGATATGCTTAGTAGTTTCACGTCCAAGCCATTGCGATTTGTACCTCATGCCTTAGTAGGCCTTTTATTAAGGCTTTGGGGGCGCTTCTTCTCAAAGCCTAGGTGGGCCTAAGGCCCCAAAACCGGAGCCTCAAATAAGTGGTAAAGCAAGCGCCTCGGGCATGTACCCTCGGAGTATATATATATATATATATATGTTAATACTGTATATATATATATATACGTTAATATACTGTATATATATATATATAAATTCTGTACATATATATATATATATTTACTGCAAACATATCTCTATAAATATGATATAAATATGCTGCATATATATATATATCTATATATACATATATTACATTTATAGATACATATCATATACACCCTGTCGCAGGCGAGCCAGTGGCAAGTCGCCTTAGATCTCTTCGAAGCCATGCCGCAGCAGCGCTTGCTGCGTGACGTGGTCGGCGTTGGCAACGCGATCTGCGTCCGGGGAACCCACTGGGGGACCGGGGAACCCGGGGAAAAGAGTGAAACGTGGTGAAACATCGTGATTTTAGGATTGAAAATTGTGAAAAATGGCGATTTTACTATTAAAAATGGTGAACAATTGCGATTTTACCATGAAACATGGTGAAAAATGGCAATTTTACCATAAAAAAAATGTGAACAATGGTGATTGATGGCGATTTTACCCTGAAAAATGGTGAAACATGATGGAACTTCCACGGGTTTGACAAATTCATTGTGATTACAAGGTGGTGCCCCCTCCAGTTACAGGTATAAATAGGTCATAATCCCAGTAACTAGTTCGAGATATCACCAACAAAAACCATAGTTATTTTGGACTTATTTGCACCAACTGAACACTATCTTGAAGACACCACCTTGCAGTTATTTGGAATATTTACCGACATTTGCCCTAAAAATCACCCAGTCAATCAGTCATGTAGGTAAAATGGATTGATTCACCATAAATCTCTGGTAAATATTTTATGGTAAACCAATCGAATGTAGTTTTTTTTTTTTTTCGCAGCACCATGGAGTGATTCACCATTAAAATCTGCTGGTAAAATCTGCAATGTCCAACGAGGCGATGACCAAGGGAGGCTCCTGGCAGGGTGCCTTGCAGCTCCTGAAGACCATGCAGCAAGAGGAGCGAGTTGCAGCAGTTTGGATACGCCTGGCTGAAGCGGGAGAGGTTTAACAAGGTGGTGCCCCAGTGAACGCGAACGCGTTCAGTTGGTTGGTTGATTAATAGAGGGGTTTGAAAAAAAAAACCTTTAACAACAGGTTTGTTTGATGATAGATACGAAACCGGCCCCTCTATTTTTACCAAAAAGGACATTATTGCCAATAACTATGTTTTATATCACTATGGGTGAACAGAACTCCAATGTCACTATGGTTTATAACTTGATAGCGTTCAGTTGGTGCGTTTATAACTCCAATGTTACTATGGTTATTGATAAATCGAACTAGTTTTCATGGGCTATAACTTGGATTTGTTGAAGATGATGGAATTTATTTTCTCAATGGGAAATCCACTACCTGGGGAATCTATAGGTGTTGTTTTTGTTTTTGTGTGTGTGTGTGTGTCATGCATGGTTCCTGAAGCAAATCCATGACAAGCTATAAGTTAAACGACATGACAATGGTTAACCAACCCAAATTTTTTAAACCAGAGTTATAACATTAACCTGAGTTATGAGTAATGATAGAAAACCAATAGTAAAACCATAGTAAACCAATTATAACTTTATGAAATTAGTAAAACACAAGACTAAACCTGAGATTACCCCCTGGTAAACTAGCAGTTTGCTATTGTATAGATGGCCCATAGGAATACTTGATTTACTGTTTTTAAAGATTGTGATTTTCCATAGTTATGTTAGTTTCCCAGAGGCTATGAGTGATAAAATTAACCAATTCCATTTTTTGATAATAAACTAAACTGGGTGGGGGATTTCAAACATAGACACTATCATGGGTGGTTTATGATTGTTTCACTAATATGTATTCACTAATGTTATATTGATTAGTTAAGGTTTCTGGTATAGTTTTAGTTTTAAGGATTTGGTGGTTTGATTCGGTTTTTTCTTGTTTCTTGCATGTTTGATGGGGATATAATCCAACCAGCTGAACATTAAGCGTTATTGAAGTTCTTGCCTGGGATTGAAGAAACGTGGGTAGTGTACGGGTGGAAATGTTGAACCCGGATTTCTTTTGAACCCGATAGACCTAAGCAGAATTCATGCTTTTACTGTACTTAGTATGAATCCATCAGGGGGAGGAAATAGATCATATTCCCAATGATTTTCTGGCAATCTTATCGCAATGGCTTTTCTGTCAATCCATTGATCGGGATGAAACAAAAAATGACGTCACTGGACTGATGCTTTGCAACGCTTTGCATATGGGGAATCATTCCCAGCAGCCCAACATGATAACAGCTGTGTTCAGGTACATGAATTATTCTTCTTGGTGGTGAACTACCCACGGATCGTAAGTAGCTTAGTTCACCCTAGTTTTTTTTCCAATGGAACAAGTAGGGTTAATCCACTTATAAGTAGGTTAAAGTAGCTTATATGTAATACTGGTTGGTGGTTTGGAACATGATTTTCCATATATTGGGAATAATAATCCCAACTGACGAACTCCATCATTTTTCAGAGGGGTAGGTCAACCACCAACCAGAATATGTAGAGAAATCCCTGGCTTTTTCACTGGGATAAGCAGGGTGATCATCCACTGAAAAAACCAACCTAGAGGTGAACGAAGCTAGAAATCATAGAATTGGATGATGGGAAAATTTTAACCGGAAACCCCTATATTTGATGGTAAAAACCATGGTTTCCGGTTAAGATTTTCCCTTAAACCAATCCATTGAAGAAAACTTAACGGGATGAGCCTCCAAGTTCAGCCAGAGGGCGCTTTATGTTTCCCACAGCTCCACAGCAAGGGGACGCATTGGTGAAAAATCCTTGATTTTCCATCGTTGAATCCCCATGAAAATAAGGGACATCCATGGGAAATCCATAGAAAAATGAGAAAAACCATGGAAAATCATGATGAACAACTATATCTGGTTGGTGCTTTAAGGAACATGAATGGATTATGACTTTCCAGAAACAGTTGGGAATGAAAAATCATCCCAACTGACGAGTGAACTCCATCATTTTTCAGAGGGGTTGGTATACCACCAACCAGAGGATATTGGTGTTTCAATCCAGGATATAGTTGAAAATATCATGGGGATATATGGTTTTCCAAAGTTAAATCCTTATGGTGGTGTTTCCAACGAAAGTTGTTGATATTGGTTCTTTTCCACGGATTTCTACAGCAAAACTACCACCATGTTTTTTTTTTTTACTATGTTGGAACCATATCTGTTGCTTAAAGCACCAGTCTTGATATCCTCTGTCGACTTGTCAGGCAGTTGAACTGGACACGGTGGTATGCAACAGCTGCCTGAGCGCCTGCGCCAATGCTGCACGCTGGCAGGTGACCCTGGGTAAATCCCATGGTTCTCTTAGGAAAACATTTTACAAATAGTGGATTTTCCACATGTTAGTTTACCCAAGGGTAAGTCCAATGATATATTACTACAAGGTGATGCCCCCTCCAGTTATAAATGGGTTATAATCCCATTAACTAGTTCGATATATATATCACCTATAAACCATAGTTATTGGAGTTATTTGCACCAACTTAGCTAACTATGGGGCACCACCTTGTAGAGTATGACGAGATAAATTCAACTTAAGGAGGATCATCCCACTTAGTGGCTGCTTAGAAAACCCATCTTGTGGGATTCTTCCATTGGTAATTGGCTTACAAGATGTGAAACAAGTATGGGCACCAAGTAGTTACTAAGTGAACAAAATTAATAGGTTCCATTGCTATGTTTTTTTTTGTAAGATTACATAACCTCAATTCAGGTTTTTGAAGTATTCTACTACAGTTGACGAATTATCAAATTTGAAAAGATCATTGAACATTGCATTTAAAGATAGTCTGGTTTAGTTGAACATTAGGTATCATTACTACCAGGATGAACACTGCTTTATTGTAATAGATAATCTGAATTGACCATCATGGTATTAACATTTATATGTTGTCAATATGTGATAATTTCCTCTGAGTTGCTGGACATCCTTCGTTCCCAGTACTTTAGATGATGAAAAGCAAATGCAGGAGACAGTGAAGGCGCACACATGTTCTTTTTTTCTGTGGTTTTGCTCTAAAAACACATCATAGCAATGCTGTAGATCTATTGTATTCTTATGTATTATTTATCATATACATTTTTGTATATATGATAGTATACATCAAGTTGTATTTCATATGTATATATATATGTATATATAACTATATATATATATACATATATATATAATATAACTATATATAATTTTTGAAAAATAGGATGAGCTTCTCATCATCCCAGCGAAATCTGGAGACCGCTTTTTTTGTGTTTTTTTTTCGGAACGCCCCAGGAGGCCTTGGACCTCGTTGGATCCCCGGTCTTGGAGTACATCAATCAAGAAACTTTGATGGTTGTCCTTGTTTGCTATGGAAAACCATAGGAAAATGGTGGTTTAATGGGATTTAATGGGATTTAATGGGAGTTACCCTCTGGTAATTTAACATAGCTATGAAAATCACCATTTGTAATGGGGAAATCCACTATTTCAATGGCCATTTTCAATAGCTTTTTGTATGTTTACCAGAGGGTATCTAAAATAACTACATCAATTGTATATAATAGTATCTATAATAATAAAATAACAAATAGTATAACAATAGTATATCAATAGTGTATCAAATATCGTATAAATAGTATAACAATAATAAAATATCATATATCAATAGTAATATATCAATAGTATAACATCAAATATATATATATATATGTATGTATATCATATATCAAAAATGTATCATAACATAGTAATAATAACATGAACTGTATATATCAAACTAAATATCAATGATTTTTCCAAAAAATATATAACGATATATCAATGATATATCAATGTATATATCAATAGTATATAACAAATATCAAGGAAAATAACTCATATACACCCCATGAATAGTATTCCTATTGATATTTGATATATACATTCATAGTATTCCTATTGTATCTAAAATAACTACATCAATTGTATATAATAGTATCTATAATCATAGTATCTATAATCATAGTATCTATAATCATAGTATCTATAATAATAGTGTCTATAAGAATAGTATCTATAATAATAAAATAACAAATAGTATCAAATATCGTATAAATAGTGCAAGCGGTAGAAGTGCTCAAGTAGGATATGAAGAGTCACTGGAATCGATTGGACAAGGAGGGGTGTTCAACGCCTCATGAATCTCGCTCCGCGGCTCTTTTCAGCCAATACTTCACGGAATAGGCATATCAACGCCTATGAGTGCTGTGCTAAAAACAGCATGCCCCCCGCATCTTCTTTCTCCTTATGAGATAGTGATGCTACCCCTTGAACTTTTTCTCCAAAACCAAAACCAAGACAAAGAAAAACCAAACAAGACGAAAATCATTCCGTGGGTTTCCATGGTGTCTCCGGCTCGGTTTCTGGCCCTTGACTCTTTCTGTTTTCAAGAGGCTCCAGGCCTAGCAGCTTCCTTTTCCGAGCTGACGCTCTTTCTTCATCTTCGACTATGCGCCACTTGTGGCCCATGCGGTAGAACAGGTGCAGTTGCTTGTGCTCGTTGCTCTTGGTCAGCCCGTTTGATAGCTGAGCTTCACTATGAACCCATCTAATCTCCACAGCATTGCGAATCTGGGCAGATTTCAAGGAGAGTAACTCCAGGTCTGTTCTCTTCTCAGCACCCTTCACGGACAAGACCTCGGTCTCTAACTTGTCGTACACATTCCTGGAGTCAGTAACCAGGCATCCACTGATCTGGTTGACGACACTGTTGATGTCTCTCACATTGACTTGAGCTCCCATCATTTCTGCCAGTTGGAATCTCGCAAAAAAGAGGAGATCTTCTCCGTTGTTTGCTGCTGCTGCTTCTGCTGCTCCGGGGCTACGGCAGATCCTGCCAATCTTCTGCGAATGCCAGGCGACAAAGGTGACTGGCTCACAGCTGCCATGACGTAACCGGTGAGATGAAATTCCAACTATAATGCCTTGTGTGCTTGAGCCATCTACGCGGTTCTGAGAGGCGGCATCTACCCATGCAAACAGTGACAACATGTGTGGTTCTATGGCATGTACCTTCATGCAGTGTTCTTTCATATCTTTGACTTTGTCAAGTAACCTGTTAGCCTTGTAAATGGTCTCTATAGTACTCTTGTTCACCTCTGACAACAGCAAGCCGACTTCAGCACTGAAGTGGGGCGCAACTTGTTGTGCGTGCCATGAGACCCCTCCCAGCAAGGCCCGAAGCTGTGTTTTCTCAGACTCCTCAGTGGGTGCATTTCGGTCTTTCTTCCTGAAGGCTCTCCGGTTAATATATTTCAAGTCTTCAACATACTTCGGTTGCGACAACGAAAAAGAAAAATCTTCATGTTGTTCCACTTGAACTCCGCATTGGGTAAACCTTTTTTCTTCCCAGTCTCCCCATTTATATTCCGTTTGGATACTCTTGAGAACAGTACACCAACCCTCATGTGTTTCATCCCCACTAAAAAGGAAATCATCAACATGACCAGAAATAATCCCTTTGGTAACCCCATCAACCACATAAACCCAGCAGCATGCGTCACTCCAGCATTTTTGCAATCCGAGTTTTGCAAAGAAATCGGAAATGGAACGATACCATTCCAGTGGCGCATCAACTAAGCCATAGCAGGCTTTCTTCACTTTGGTGATTGACTCTGCTGGGAGTCCCATCCTTTCACAGATCTCTGGGCATGGTATACAAAAAAGGTCATCAGGGTATGGCCTGCTTTGCAGGAAAGCACCTGTCACATCACCTTTTCGCATCTTGTGGCGATATGAAGCGGCTAATTGCATCTGCAGTTGCCTGGTCTGGCGAGTCGTGGTTGGAGAAGTCGTTGCTCTCTGTTCATAGCATGGATCTTGGTATCCTAAGAGGACGGCTCTGGCTTTCGCCTTTCGGCTGCCATCCTCCTTCTGCTTCCATGCCAGTATCCAACGCATCTTCACTGCTTGTTCGCGTGCTGGGCGAAGTTTCTCCGGAAGGGCTTCAAAAGCCTTGGCAGCTATGAAGTTACTCACTTCAACGGCCTTTGCAGATCGGAACTGTTGTCGCTCTTCCTCAGATAGGTGACGCTCACAGACTTCAACTGCTGACCGTTTCTTCAAGCTACTGGCAAAGTAAGAAGGGAGATCTCGAAGAGCTCGTTCAGATCCAGCACGTGTGTCTGGCATGGGAACCTCCACGGCCACGGCCGCGGTCTCATCCATCCAGAAGGTGCTCTCGGTGACTGCAAACACTTCCTGGATACTTGACTGGTTCCACCATGGTGGGGCAGCAGCCATGCCTTGTTGGGCACACATTCGAGGCCTCTGTGACACGGGTGCTCCTGAGGATGTAGAAGGCGTAGGCCTGGAAGCTGGACTCCTGGATCGCCCTGTTGGCCTGGATGTTGGAGGAGCCGGTCCCATGCCACTCATCTCATCTACCATGGGGCCTCGTTTTCTTGCACATCTTCTCATTGGTTGCCATTCTTGGACTGGATCTTGAGCTCGTAGCCATTCTGCATAAGAGGGTACTTCGGTGGACACATCCAGAAACTCGTTCCCTCCAAGTTGTTGAGCTACTCTATCAAAGTCCCAGTCATCGTATTGTTTGGCATGTAGTTCTTCTAAGAGGACCTCCCGCTCGGAGGCTCGACGTAGTTGCTCTGGGGAGCACTTGAGAAGTCTTCTCCCTCTGACGCACCAAATTGAGCTGCCCTGCTTGTGGGTCCCGTCGGGAGAGCGATGTTGCTCCACCGCCAGGATGCGGGCTGGCCCCACAAACGAGCCACCCTTAATGGCTGCTTGGCCGCTCACTTGCTTTCTCCACGCATACACTAGGTCTCCTGGCTCATAGTTGGTGACATCTCTGGGTTTTGAGTTCTTGGCTTTTTGGAGTCTCTGGCTTGCCGTCCATTCAAGGAAGGCCTTTTCCGCACTTTGCATTCGCTGGAGCTGGCGATCCATCTCACCAGAGGCGTTCTCTACCAGCAGCTCTGGACATTCACTTGGGCCGCAAGGGAAAAGTCGCCCGGTGGCATCAGGCGCGCGGCCAAGGGCATGTTGGATGGGCGAATAGCCTCGGATCAGTTCTCGGCTATTAAAGGTCCTAGTGGCTTCAGCCAGAGCTTCTGCTGCGGTGACTTCTGGGTCATCTTCAGCTATTTTGTTCATGAGAGTCTTGGTACCCTGAATAGCCTGTTCACAAATGCCCACCTTCCAGTGAGCTTCACCCGGAATAATGTCCAACATTATTTGGTGCCTATCACAGTATTCTTGAACCACATGACTCCTGAAGCTACCATCCGGATCCACCCTGAGTTGATTAGGAAAACCAAAATACTGAACCCAGTGTTCCCCAAACGTTTCAACAAACTGATTGGCAGTAAGGTGACTTCTTTTCCCCGTAAGAACAATTTTTCCCACACGAAAACGGCATCCCTCATCAACGAACATCAAAAATTGATAGGACTCCTTAGTTTGTGGGTGTTCCCAGTGCCCAATATCCCCTGACACAGACGCCCATTTTGGGGGGTGAGGCTCCAAGGTGGCTAAAGGTCGTGGCTTCGGTCTACCCCGTTCCTTACAAACCGAACACTCAAAACGTTCGGCTTCCCGGAGCACATCCTCTGACACTCCCCTGCGTCGCAGGGCTTGCACCAGGTGTCTGGTTGGCCCGTGGCCAGTGGCAGCATGTAAGAGGTACAGTCGTTTTCTTATTTCTTCAATAGTCAGACCCTGACCCCTTTGTTGGTTATCTTCCCCAACCAGAACTTCGTGGTTCCCCTTACTGTCACACTTCCCATGATTGGTTCCCTTGATTCTTTCATGCTCATCATGAACACATGAACCGCAAACAAAACCATGTTGAGAATCATGAATGTGGTGACAACTGCAACTGATCCCATTACCAAAAGTTTCCCCAATTTGGTGGTCTCCCACAAACTCCCTTTGTAGGTCTTCATCTTCCGCTCCATGAATCAACGCATCACAGACCCTTCGGGCAAATTCGGGGGTGTAATAAGCAGTTTTGTTGGTAAGGGAACCCTCGCACTTCACATGCTTCTGGTGAGGCCCACAGCTACATGGCATGTTCATCCTTTTTGCCAACAAAGCATGAGTGGTCATGAGTTTCCAGCCTTTCGAAATTGGGTTTTTCTCATCATCAACAAGACCAACACGACAACCCCGTACCACAGCAAACCATGGATTATGTTTCTTCACCAGTTCCTGCATCATTGGAAGCCTCCATGCCTGACATGATTGTGACCATTCCCAAGTGACATGTATACCATGCTGAATACAGTACGTATATATGACACTGCAAC